CAAAGAAGCTGAAGAAACAGTGGGCCACCTAGTTAGCTGCTGCAAGAAGATCACACAGACTGACTACAAATGATGACATGACAAAGTAGCAAGCAAGAACTGGTGGGACCCCAAAAGAGACAAAGTAATAGAAAATGAAGACGCTAAAGTGTTCTGGGACTTTAGAATTCAAACAGACAAGCACCTGCCATATCACACCCCAGACTTAACAATTGTTGATAAGAAAGACAAAAAAGTCTGGATAGTGGATACTGCAGTACCTGGAGATAGCAGAATAGAAGAGAAAGAACTGGAGAAAATGACAAAATACAAAGACCTGCAAATAGAAGTAGAACAACTGTGGCAAACGAAAGCAAAGTTAGTACCAATAATAATAGGTGCCTTAGGGGCAATCCCAAAACATCTGGAGCACCACTTGAACACCATTGGCATTGACAAAATCACCATCAGCCAATTGCAAAAGGCGGCTTTATTTGGAACAGCTTGCATCCTTCAACAATATCTTTAACACTGTCAAACAACACATCTGCCTATCCCAGGTCCTTGGGAAGGACTCGATAGGTGGACAAAAATGCCAAATCCAGTCTAAACATCTGGCTGACTGTGTGACCAACCATAATGACTCGATAGGTGGACAAAAATGCCAAATCCAGTCTAAACATCTGGCTGACTGTGTGACCAACCATAATGACTCGATAGGTGGACAAAAATGCCAAATCCAGTCTAAACATCTGGCTGACTGTGTGACCAACCATAATAATAATAGATAGGTGACATGATCTATCATTACTCTTTCCTACATAATTCCTAATAAGATTGTGACCCTTTTATTATAACATACAGAGTCATGTTGTACAAAGTAAGTTTTTTAAATGGCAGCTCTGGACTATTTATTTAATTAACATTATTTATCAGCCACCCCAATCTGTACTGACTTGATGAGAAGCAACAATTCAATATACAGTAAATTAAAACAATCAGTAATATTAATAAATGACCTAAGATGATTGCTCAAACACTACTGTGGGTTGAAAGCTTGCTGGAACAATATGAATTTTGTTTCAGAAAACAAGGAGGGTTGGGGCTGCCTGTTCTTCTGGGTGTAAGATGTTCTATAAAGTAAGGTCACTAATGAGAAAGACCGGCTACATAATGAACAAAATATGCATATTTTGAGGACTTAATTTGGAATTTTTGCAGCAAGCAGGAGACAAGGCGCAGTATCTCTGCCACTGTTACAAAACTGTCAGACTTATTTCTTCTCACTACTGTAGAGTGAAAAATCAATAGTTTTTTATTCATTTTATTACAATTTATTGACATTAAAGCAAACACTAGCATTTTCCATTTGCAGAGAATTCCATGCAAATATATAATCCAGGCAAATAACTCTGTAAAACAATTATTATGTCTAGATTCATATATAAATATAATTCATACACTTATGAAGAGAGAGAGAGAGAGAGAGAAGTAGATGAGAGAAATTTGTTTCTTATAATATTTAACTTCTTAAAAAGCCTTTCTTCTGCTTTAAAGAAAATCATCCATTCATAAGCAGTTTGTAATGAAACTTAACAACTACTAAATCAACAAATGTTCTAACTAAGAAGGCATGCTAAGAATTGTTGTAAGTAAAAAAAATATACAGAGAAAGAGCTCTAAAGGCAAAAAAGTATTTTCAGAAAACGAAAATCCCATTTCTCATCAAGAACCCTTCTCCAATGTATCAGAAACCTATGTTGGTGATGGAATAATTTTACACTGCAAGAAGTAAACAAATTACATTCACCTTCTTCTGTCTCCGAACTTCCACCTTTTATTGCCTGTGATAAGTACCAGCCAAGGTACTTACTCATCTTAACTGCCTGAGAATGAATTACGGCCAGGTGTGTAAGTGGTTGAGCATGCTACAACCTATTGCTTCCATTAATGTTTAGTTACTTGCCTTTGAGTGAGCATCAAGGTCACTCACTCCCATTTAAAAAGGAAAATGGATCCTTGTTAATCTTTATATTTAAGAAGGAAAGTGGGCTTGAAAATCCTAATAGATCTACATAGGATAGTCATAACTGGGCTGGGGTACCACTAGATGGCAGCAAAGAGACACAGAAAATGTTAAAATGTCTCTGCCGTCTACTGGGGGTCCGGATTTGTGCAACCCAAATTTGTGGAATTGAGT